AGATCACAATTCTATGACAAAACTGAACTCTTTAATCTCCAAATGGTTTTGTTATGGGTAATAAAGGAAATATAATTGTTTTGAAAAACAATCAAACCTAATCATATTGACATATACAAAATGATCATATGTCTATGAATCTCTTATTTAGATTTCTGTATGGTGCATCATGTTTTTTCCTGTAGATAATCGTAGAAGTTTCATTGAATCTTTAAGAACTTGAGGAATAATTTAGTAGAATACTAAAACATATCGTAATCGTCTTGTCTATTGTAAATCACTTAACTATATTTCTTGGATAATAATTACTTTATGTCATATCCGTAACAATAGATTCTTGTATACCTGTCTATAGCATTACACTTGCATGTTGAACATTCTGTTTGTGATTTTATAAACAGATCTTGCTTCAAGCCGTATTGTATACCCACTTTCATGACTATTCCTCTCTCGAATCAATAAATAACTGTCCGTTTAGATATTTTCGTGCATGTGCTTATCTGATGTCTTTTTCTTTACGTTCTTTCATAGTATTTTCTCTTTTGTGCACCTCACATATATTTTTCAAGAAAATAGTAAGAGTAAGTTTTAAGTTCGAGTTTTGACAGCTCCCTTCTTTCTCCTCCATTACAGATCATAACAACTCCGCCAAAAAACGAAAAACATCCTGCTCAAAGTATAAAGATAAAAAAGACAGCATTTGCTGACAATCAATTATCGTTAGAAAAGAACGGTTGTCGTTGAGAGAATTTAAACATTGAGTATTTTGTGATTAATATAATGATACTAAAGACCATATATGAGTTCCACATTTCAAACACAAAGAGACTGCGTAAACAAGCGTTTTTTATGAAAAATCTGTAATCTTACATTGTGTGTAGTAATGATGATTAAGTTGCCAATATCATAATAAAGACAGATCGTTTCAAATCGATCTGTTTCTGTTATTGTCACATTAACTTCTAAAACAATCAAATTTAATACTCTGCTGAATATGTAATTATATTTACCATTTGTTTCACAACTTTCTGTTGGTCGAATAGTAAAATCAAAAGAATTAAGACCACAAATTGGTCTAATAGTACCATTAAATATAATTGCTGAAACCTAAAATAAATCGTATAAGTTGTTATTAATGAAAACAATGTCAAATAAAATTTACTTCTATAATCCATGAACGTTGAACATCGATATCAACTTTGAAATGTCTATCTCTTCTATTAAGTGTGTATAAACCAGATGCTTGACAATCTTTATAATCAGAGAAATTTTGATTAATCCAATGTAAAATATCGATATGAGCTCCTGTATATGAGACACATTTATAAATATCATCATCAGGCACTGTTGGCAATATTATTGAAGAATTCTCAAATGT